TGGTTAATCCTAATCTTAATTCTGGGTTTAAACTCACCTGCTATGAAGATAGCCATGCTAGCGAGGGCTAGCCAGGCCAGGTTAGCGTCGGCTTCTTCTCCAGTGCTCTCCAGTATCAGGAGGCCCAGGGATTTTCCCGGGTGGAGTCGAGCCATCAGGTAGAAGTACACGCCAAACGCCGTGGTGCTGATCGCCATGGCGACGCCTGACAAGAAAATAAACAAAACATTTCTCATTTAGTTCAAAGACACAGGCGGGTTCTGTCTGTGTTTGTCGGTCACATCGAAGAGACTCAATCACCTGAGACGACGAGGAGGACTTTCCTCCCGGCCTTGTCCATGACCAGTGCCGCGATGGCGGTGAAGACGACCTGGATCAGGCCCACGATCACCGACGCCAGGTCACTTTGCTGAAAAGACGGTACACAGAAATACACGCATAATTACAACTGTTCCACAGAAGAAAAAAAAATTCGTATATTGTTGTTAAAAGTTACTTTTTAAATCTGTGAATTAAAAAATTCATGTTCCGGGGTTCATTTTTAATACGTCATTTTTTTACAATTAAAATAAAGGCTACTCTATTCTATTCACTACAGCTTGTCGTCAAATATATTTTTGGTATTTCTATGTTTTTTTAGGGGGCATATACAATAGGTGGTGGCCTAGGCTGCCATCTGCTGGTGGGGGCTATACTGCAAGCCTTAAAAAAATTAAAACAAATAAATAAAAATAATACACAAAAATGTTTTTTAAAGATTATTCTAACGCTATGATTTCTGTTATGTTTTACTTGATTATCAGCGAAATTATTTATTACTTATTGTGTTGAGAAATGCTAGATAAGATTAATCTTAGCTAGCCAGATGCAGTCGTCAAAAGAGCCATAGGTTACCGACCCCTTGTCATACATTATACAAACAATAAAAATGCACCTTAAAATGTGCTTGTTCAAAAATGTTCTCAGCGTAGAACATGATGGCGTTGATCCCCGTCATTTGCTGAAAGACCATCAACATGATGCCAATGATCAGAGGTTTGTAGACTCCAGGGTCCTTCAGGTCCGACAGCCGGAAACCTGAATCCTGAGGTAGGAACACACAGACGTGGAGTAAGAGTCAGATCTGACTCCAGTCTACAGTGGCGAACCATTTGTATCTATGACAACAGCGGTCCCTCACTCTCTCCTGGCAGGCGTCCTCGATGCGAGCGCACTCCCATTCCACCGGGGCGTCGGGCCCCCGCAGGAAACGCAGGGCGTCCACAGCCTCCCGCCTCTTGCCTTGTGACAGTAGGAAGCGCGGCGTCTCCGGCATGAAGCACATGCAGACCATCATCAGCGTGGGTGGGATGGAGCTGCAGATCGCCAGCCAGCGCCAGTCCAAGAAGAGACCTGGAGGAAGAAACACGCAGAGCCACAGGTTCGAAAAGTCTTCTTGAAAGTTCAATTAATTCTTCCAATTTGAATAGTTTCACAATGAGCAAGTTAATTCATTGGTCAAATACATATATATATATATATATATATACATATATGTATACTGTATATGTACACATATATGCATATTTACACATATATGTATACACATATACACATATATGTATACACATATATACATATACACATATGTATACACATATACATATATATGTATACACATATATACATATACACATATGTATACACATATACATATATATGTATACACATATATACATATACACATATGTATACACATATACATATATATGTATACACATATATACATATACACATATGTATACACATATATACATACAGTATATACACATATATATGATGAAAGTCTCCTCAAACCTCCCTCCACTACACATGAACAGTCAACACCACCAGCCAAATAAACAAGAAACATCAGACGTCATGAGACAACACTTACAGAGTCATGTGACACGCCAGCTACCAGGAAGCAAAGGCGAATGGCATGTGTTCAAACAGGTCAATCGAAACTACAACAGTCACATGACACGGCAGCCTATGAGTCCAAGTCTCCTTTTAATGTGGCGTCGGTGATAAAATGTCAGTGTGACATCATCATCACCAGCCTCTCAACACAATCGACCAAAGCTAAAAAAGTCAACCTTTGACCTTGTTTAAAATCTGTCCAAAAATTATCAAGAGAAACTGAGTGCCTGGCTGATCACCTCAGAAGGATTATTATTGTAGGAAGGTAGCGTATGCTATTCTTACAGGTATGGTAAACTGACAGGACACCAGGCAGCAAACTTCAAATTTTAGATCCACACACAGGCATGGTAGTGTGGGTGGAACTAGCTAGTGTTGGGGGTGGACTTATTTTTACCAAAAATCGTGTTTTGAGACTTTTTTTTTTTTTTTAAAGATACATGGTAGTTCACCATTGACATACCTGCGAGATAAACTCCCATAATGCCGAGCACCACCATGAGCTGTACACAGGAGCCCAGAGTCCCTCTGACACGCTCATGAGCCATTTCTGAAATGTAGAGCTGTGGAGAAAAGAGTTTCATTTTTCTCGTTCATGGATTCCTGTGATTTTTTATTCCCCCTCAGAGTCGGTTCAGTCGGAGGTTAAGATGCGCCATTTAAGCAAACGGTATGTAAATGTGATGTGTGACGAAACCGGCGCAGTAAATAGATGCACCGCAGGAATGTGAGGTCAAAAGGTTGAACAAGTGAAATAAATGTAGCCTCAGGCTCTGCGAGCTAGTCTATTAGCTCTGCGCAGATTATTCACGATTTACAATCATTTCGTAAAATTCGGGAGAATGACATTTAAATAAAAAAAAACGTTTTCAAACTCCTCATTCGCAAATTTACGATTTTTATCCGATATCCGAAATGCCGCTATTGTCCAAACAATTTCCGATTCCAATATGAACTGATACCGATATACAGTATGCAGCCATTAGGTAAACGTCTCGGGACCCAACGTACGATTCATTATCAAAGGAAAAACCGATAACTTTCTTACTGATATTAGATAATTTTGCTAATATCGGGCAGATATTATCGGACATCCCTAATCGTGATACATCGTAAAAACGTACAATGCAGTTTCAATCATAGCGAAGCTAGTCGCTAGCTACATCACACAGGAATGGATGAGAACAGCTGTGGGCGTCTTACCGGTACGACCAGTGATGTCACACCGCTGGCCACGCCCGTGAGCACTCGCCCCACGTACAGCATCCACACGTTCTGCGCTGCGATGATGATGGTGAAGCCACAGACAAAAGGCAGCGAGCAGAACATCAGGCTGAGTTTTCTCCCGATCTTCTCCACCAGCCATCCACCCAGCAGGCCGCCTGCCGCCGCTCCCAACGTTACGATCGACTGCCAAACGTACAACAGAAGTTGTCACTGGATTTTTATAGCCATGGATAAACAAATGGTCTTCAACCTCTGGTTCCTGATTGAAATTTTTACTCCTGCAACATCATAATTGATGGGTCAAACGGACCAGTGCTAGCATCAGTAAAAAGCACAAAGGTTTAGAAAAATAAAATGTAAAACATTATTAGACATCACAATTTTTTTTTGGCTTGCTTGCTAACAGCCAACAACACAATAGATGTGCAAATTTTATTTTACTTCAGGTCACTGGAGGACAGTGGTTCCCAAAAAAAAAACAAAGAAAAAAATAAATATTTTGTTTTCAGACTTGGACAACAGCTAAATCGGGAGCGAGAATTAAAAATAAAGACCTCTTTTACAACATTAAATTTCATTTGTTTGTTCCATACGCGCCCCTGCCTGCAATGACAATGTGACCACTAGGGGGCGCACCCTGCGCTTTAAGAATTGTTTTTGAAAAATTTTTGAGGACTTTTTTTTTTGAAAATTTGAGGAAGAACATTTTTTGAAAGATTTTTAAGGAAGGTACGTTTTTTGAAAATTTTTTTAGGAAAAATGTTTTTAGAATTTTTTTTTGTAAGGGGGAATTTTTTTTAAGGAAGAACATTTTTTGACAAAGTTTTAAGGAGGAAAGTTTTTAAGGAAAACGTTTTTGAAGAATTTTTAAGGAAGAACTTTTTTTGAAAAAATTTTAAGGAGGAAATTTTTCTTTTTAAGTTTTGCAGAAGAACATTTATTAAAGAATTTTTAAGGAAAATTTTTTTTGAAGATTTTTTAAGGAATTTTTTTTTTTTGAAAAAAAAAAAAGGTTTCAAAATTTTAAGTTTTCTGCATGTTTCTCATGTTTTAAACTTATTTATAATTACTATATGTATAAATATAATATTTATAATAACATTATCTAAACTAGTTTTTATTTCTTGTAGTGTAGCATTCTTTTTGAATTTCTCCTGCAGGAGCAGAATTTTTTCTATTTTGGTTCAAATTTTTGACAATTCTCTCGTACAAATTTTTTATTTTTTTTAAATTAAGTTCCACGTTTCCCTTTTTCAGGCTTGACTGGAGTCAGCACGGCTGTGGAGAGAACACATGGCGGCGATGGCATGTGACATTGAATCATCATACCCCAAACCAGGAGGCCTGGATGTCGTCCAGCTGCAGCCGGGGGTCAGGGCTGTGGGTGAGCTCAGGGAGGGTCGGGGAGCTGAAGCCCAGCACGAAGCCGAAGCTCATGGGACCCAGAACTGATGCAAAGGTCGCCAGGTACAAGTTCCTGTTCTTCACTTTACTGCAGAGACAAAGGAGAAGAAAATAAAAAAAGGGACAAAGGTCAGGGCCAAAGGTCAACGCAGCAGCTCACACGAGCGTATTTCTCCAAAGAACAATAGGCAAATTGTGTTTTCAAAAATGACATTTTTTTTTTTTTTTTTTTAAATATGATTATTTCAGGATATTTTACTGCATTCAGCAGCAGATGTGTGGTTTAAGGAGTCCGGCATCTGATCTGCTGACTCGGTCCACACTGGTTTACTAGCTCCCCTGAAGGCCTCGTTTCCTCATAGGGGAACAAGCTGTTTTCTTTTGTGGTGCGTTTGTGTGCTTGGTTTGTGGTGTAAAAAAAAAGAAAAGTTGCTGGGTGTGAATTTAAACTTGCTTCTGTACAGAATAAAGACTTCTTCAAAAAGTTGACTAGCCGTCCAACTGATGGCCAATAATAATATAAAAATCTATCCTTTCCTTTCCTCTCTTCTCCTTTCCTCTTCTTTCCTCTTCTCTCCTCTCCTCTCCTCTGCTTTTCTTTCCTCATCTCTCCTCTTCTTTCCTTTCCTCATCTCTCCTCTTCTTTCCTTTCCTTTCCTTTCCTCTTCTCTCCTCTCCTCTTCTTTTCTTTCCTTTTTTCTCCTCTTCTGTCCTCTCCTCTTCTTTCCTTTCCTTTCCTCTCCTCTCATTTCCTCACCTCTCCTCTTCTTTCCTTTCCCCTTCTTTCCTCTCCTCTTCTTTTCTTTCCTTTTCTCTCCTCTTCTGTCCTCTCCTCTTCTTTCCAGCAGTTCAAGTCAATCTACTTTCGTACATACATCTACTTCGCGTAATATCACAACTTTATTCTAAAAAATAATAATTAATAATAAAAATGTACGACATAATTCTCGTAAATCTACGATTGTTCTCCTTAATATCGAAATATTAAATATAACATTTTTACTCGTAATATCACAACGTTATTGACATGCATTTAATACAGGTATATATCGGAAAAATATCGGAACCTGTAACGTTTTTTTCCACGTAAAACTACAAGTTTATATCGTAAAACTGGAGGATATCCGGTTCTCATTCACAAACCTTTACAGGTAATAGAATATAAATTAAATTATATTTACTATTAATATACTTCAACAAGTGTTTTCACACAACAACAAACGTGATTTAATTAGCCAAAAGTTAAGGCGTGTTAACGTCCCTGACCTCAGATACGAGTCCTGCTCGGACAGCACTCCTGTCGGGTCGTCTGCTCCGGCATCGTCCGCGTCCAGCAGCCGTCTCCTCTCGCTGTAAGGGTCCATCACCGGTGGCACAAAAATATTTACTTCCGCGTTCAATGTGTCAATGTGTCGCGCATTTGTCACGAACAAACTGTTTCGTGATAAATAAACAAACAGACTGGTTCGCTGACAAAACAACAAGACAACATTAGCTTCTGTTGGTTAGCGCAGAAAAGCCCGACCAGAACCGCACGGTCTGACAGTCAAAGGACCTGATGTGACCAGCTTTTCCCGCACTGGTCAACTCGTTTGTCTTTTGTCAACAATCACGTCACCTGACCTGTGAGTTTTCTAGTTTCAGGGTATGTTGTTTCAAAATAAAGCTCCAACTGTAGCCTCTAAAGTTAAAATAATGGTTTCGTTCATTTACACTCGGCAAGTTACTTTGAAAAAATTAAAACGGAATGACTTTAAACATGTTACTTCAAAAACGGAATGAAATTTGTTTCGATAATTGCTAGTCGATTTTAACTATTTAACGTCATGTTTTAATCTGAAAAAATTACCTTAAAGTAGCGCCAAATCCGGAAATGTGATGTGTATGTTGTTTTCGAGCTGCTTTCAAAATAAAAGCCTTTCCGCTCATTGAAACTTGGTTTAATATCTATATATTTTATTTTATTTATTTTATTATTGTTATTAAGTGCATTTGGCAAAGTTACGGTTTTTCCTCGGCTACTTTGTAAACACAGACAATTTCATTTGTTTTTTAAAATTCATATTTTCAAATATTATGAAGTATTTACAAGATCGTAAGGTATTTCTTCCAGTATTTCACACGAGTCCAAATCAACTCACGAAAGACACTTTCTCCATTTTTTTATTTTACATATTTATTTTTTACCAATGTAAAAGCAACAATTAAAACAAAATTTAAAAAAAAATTCCAATGATGTCACGGAGTAGCTGTAAAGTCTCCATCCCAGGACCATCGCCAACATCTGGACCAGGTGTGAGCGTCACCTCTCCGTGGTGGCTGTTATGGATGCGAGGCAGCTGAGCACCTCAGGACTGCAGCAGCTGCTGTCCACCTGCTGGAGGACAGGCTGAAAGACAGGAGCGGTAGGTGTTGACATTTAAAGGGACAGTTCCGATTCAATGCAGGCCGCTACTGTGTCTGAGCCCTTTGTTTCATAAACCTCCATTAAAAAAAGAAAAGAAAACCATAAGCTTTCATCACAGACCACTAGAGGCACTATAGTTTGTATTTTACTTATTGATAAAACTATTACAGAAACCTGCAATAAATACTGTGTTTTATATATAAGTATAAGTAAACAAACGGAAGAAATCAATAATTTTTGTTTCTCCTCTAGGTGTCGCCACTACACGCAATGGTGGATTAATTCAAAAGAGCGGATACACACCAGTAGTTTTCCATGTGTGCAGCGGTCCAGCAGTTTGATACAGAGAGCGGTTTCGCTCATCAGCTTCCGCTTCGAAGCGTCCTCGAGACAAGAGTCCGAAGAGACGTCGACCAGGAGCCGCAGCAAACAGCGCAACAGCAGGTTACTGCGGACCTCCATCCTGAGCAGAGACACGGCAGTGTCAGTATATGACCACTAGAGGGAGCTATCACATCCAAGTTCTTTATGGAGGAAGGTGGTTGTTTTTTAGATTTCGCAGGTATCTACTGGGAGGGGTCAGATTAGATTTAGGGTGAGGACTGGGACTGGGACTGGGACTAGAATTAGGACTGTGACTGGGACTGGGACTGGGACTGGGACTAGGATTAGGATTAGGACTAGGGCTAGGACTGTGACTATGACTGGGACTAGGACTATGACTGGGACTATGACTGGAACTAAGACCAAGACTGGGACTAGGACGGGTCTAGGACTGGGAGTGGGACTAGGATTAGGACTATGACTGGGACTGGGACTAGGATTGGGACTAGGATTAGGACTAGGACTGGGACTAGAACTGGGACTACTGGGACTGGGACTAGGACTGGCCTAGGACTGGGACTGGGACTGGGACTGGGACTGGGACTAGGACTGAGACTGGAACTCGGACTAGGTGTGTGTGTGTGTGTAGTCAGACCGTGGCCAGGCCACTGTCATCGTCGTCTTCAGTGCCTCCAGGATCTTCAGTCTGCTCGTCTCCTCAGGTGGATCTCCAATCTCCAGGTATCCCAGCACCACCCGCTCCAACCGTTTCAGATGTCGGCAAACTCCTACACCCATCCTACGTCAAACACACACACACAGTCTGGTTTTCATGACCTGTGAGTACTTCACATGAACAGTTACAAAGACCCTTAAAATGGCTAATCCTAATCCACTCCCAACCGGGCAGTGATCCTTTGACCTCTGACCCCTGCTCTTTGCACACGCTCATGGTAAAACTAAAGTTCCCGTCCTTTCCCTGTCCCACCTGTCTATGTAGGGGGGCAGGGCGGAGGCGTAAACCCGGCGCAGAGACACTTTGTTCTCCGCCTCCATGTGGGTCAGGACCAGACTCAGCACGTCGTCGTGACGACAGGGCCTCCTGCGGGTGGGGGCGAGCACAGACGGGGGCTTCTCAAAAACCAGCATCAGGTCCAACAGACAGGACAGGACCAGCTGCAGGCGGCACAGGAGGAGGACGAGAGAGAGGACGTGGCAAAATAAAAGTCTTTCAAATGTGTTTGTTTATGTGTGTGTGTGTGTGTGTGTCTTACCTGTATGACTGCAGCCTCTGTGGTGAACAGGTGTTTGAACAAGGCTTCATACATGACGTCTGCTCTGTTGAACTGACGAAGCTCCGCAGCAGGCTGAGGCAAACACACACACACACACACGCACACATACACACACACACTCAGATATTTCCAGAGATAAATAAACATGTGTGTGTGTGTGTCTGTGTGTGTGTGTGTTCTTACAGTGTTGATTACAATGTGATGCAGACAGCGAACTCCCAGCATGCAGTTCTCTGGTCTGAAGTGGTCATTGAGAAAGAGGGAGGGAGGGAGAAATCGAGGCAGGTGAGGCGAGAGAGAGGGGCGAGTGACCTAGAGGAGACATGGAATCACAGAACAGTGTGTGAGCAGCTGGTACCAGGTGACACCAGGTGGTACCAGGTGACACCAGGTGGTACTATGTGGCATCAGTTGGTACCAGGTGCCATTATGTGGTACCTGGTGACATCAGTTGGTACAAGGTGCCATCAGATGGTACCAGGTGCGTTATGGGTCACCTGGTGTCATCAGTTGGTAACAGGTGACATGACATGACACTAAGTGACATCAGTTGGTACCAGGTGACATCAGGTGACACTAGATAGCACCAGTTGGTACCAGGTTCCATTATGTGTTACCAGATGGCATTATGGGTCACCTGGTGACATCAGTTGGTACCAGGTGACATCAGATGGTACCAGGTGGCGTTATGGGTCACCTGGTGTCATCAGTTGGTACAAGGTGACATCACATGACACTAAGTGGCATCAGTTGGTACCAGGTGACATCAGGTCACACTAGGTAGCATCAGTTGGTACCAGGTGTCATTAAGTGGTACCAGATGGCACTAGGTCACACCTGGTGACATCAGTTGGTATCCGGTGACATCATGTGGTGCCATGTGACATCACATCAGGCTAGGTGGTACCAGGTGCCATTAGACGGTACCGTGTGGCATTAGGTGATACCTGATGACATCAGTTGGTACCCGGTAACATCAGTTGGTACCAGGTGACATCATGTGGTACCATGTGACATCACGTCAGGCTAGGTGGTACCAGGTGCCATTAAGTGATACCTGGTGTCATCAGTTGGTACCAGGTGACATCAGGTGGTACCAGGTGACATCAGGTGGTACCATGTGACATCACATGACACTAGGTGCCATTTGGGGATACCAGGTGATACCATGTGACATCACGTGGCACTAGGTGCCATCGCGTGACACTAGATGGCGTCAATTGGTACCAGGTACCATTAGGAGGTACCAGTTGCCACTAGGCAATACCATGTGACATCAACTGGTACCAGCTGACTCCTAGTAACAAAGACATCAGTCAGATCACCAGTCACACTGACCTGCAGCAGAGTCCAGACAAAGACCAGCTTCACTGCTTCACAACGATGCCACGTGTCTCTGCAAAAACACACACACACACACACAGATTTTAACAAGAACATTTTTTTAAACAAATGTGAATTTCTCACGTTCCGATTTCTGGTTCTCACCTGGTGAGTTGAGGCTGTAGGAGGTCCAGGACTCCGGAAAGAACTCCTCTTTTCGTCCCTTCCTCCTCCATCACCGCCAGACTCCTGTCTCCCATGAGGAGATGGGCGGAGTCTGTCCAGCCACCTGCCCTCAGCAGCGCCTCCTGCAGTCTCCGTGCAGCTGCTCTGGAAGACGATGTCGTCCACACCTGGTCCTGAACACACAGACAAATCATGTCCTTGACTTTGTTTCCTGTTTTTACTTTTTGGCTTCTGTTGTTTTCTGCCCCCTTGTGGTCAAATTGAGCACTCCAGCTTGCTGGGTCATCTAATCATCCTGTGTTTCTCTAGGAGGGGGTTTGTTCATGTCCACTTGATGTTGACGTCTGTGTCTCACCTGGTAGTGCATCACACTGAACACACACACAGATGGCGCTAGAGTCAGCAGCAGGTCCGTCCTCTGACTTTGACCCAGAGTTTCCAGCAGGACCTGCAGCACCGAGCATACCCGGAGGGCTCGGCCCGGAACACCGTGGTAGCCCGCTGGCGGCAGCGAGCTGCTTTCGTCCTCGCAGACAGGCAGAGACGCGCAGTCGGTCAGAGCTCGGACCACAGACCTGTGAGTCGACCGCAGCTCCTCCTCACCGGCCGGTGCAGGGGAGAACAACCAATCAGGATCAGCGGTGAGAAAGAGTCTCTCCGTGTGATCCAGCAGAGAGAAGGTCTCTGTGTCCGAGGAGGCAGCTGTCAACTTCTCCTGCAGCTGAGACAGCACTGTGGTGACTGCAGGGGGCGCAGAGGAGGCAAAGGGCTTCTCGGGGGGGAGAAGATGGAGCTCACGGAGCAAAACACACAGTTCCATTCTGGAGGAGAAAAAGATGGAGGGAGGGAGGGAAAAAATGTGAAAATTAAGTTGTCCATTTTTTAGTTTTTGCTAATCCAAGTAACTAATATCTGTCTGCTATTGTTTCAATTTCACAGTTAAATTTAATTAATTTCCCCAATTTCGTTATGTTTTCACCGAACATAATGACAATAAGGACTATTCTATTCTATTCTAAATGTTTATTTTTATATATTTAAAATCCTCAGGGTCAAAGCTCAACAGAATAGTTTTTATTAACATTGGACTGACTGTAGCAAACAGCAAACTTCAGATAAAAAAGTAAAAATTCAACATATTAAAATACAAACGTCACATATTATTATATTTGGAATATTATTAATTGTCTATTTCTGTGTTTAAAACACAAATTACACACGTTTACGCATATGTTTTATACGTAATCGTTTGTAATTTGGTTCCGTTTGAAAACATGTCCGTCTCTCGGACTTGAATTGAACGTAATTTCGTGAAATAAAACTTTGTATTTAAGTGGGGTTTTTTACATATATATATTTATTTATTAGTATAAATTAAGACCGTGTTCTAAATGATGTTCCAAACCGTGTCTATTTCGTTCTAAATTTCGTATTTAAATGTCTTTTTTTTACTTAATCTGTAAAAGATAGAGTAAAAACTGACCTGGAATCCGCCGCTTGTTTCTTCAATTACCCATAACTGTTAATACACGATAAATACACAACAACTTCATCTTGGACTAAAACGTCCACCAACGGTCCGTCCCATAAACATTGCCGACAACAACACTTTACAAATGGAAGGTTCCCTGAGACAAAAGTTCCGCCTTTTTTTCTTTTCTTTTTTTCTTTACTAACGCCGCGCTTCCGGGATGTTGTTCATTAACTGACGCAATGCTAACCTGTAGCGTATGTCAACCACAACTTCGCGTGGATACGAAGTAGTTTTAAAAACATATTTCCGGGAACATGTTACACGTTTGGACAGAGCGGGAGAATCTGAGACGAGAGAAACCGCGGAGAGGAGTTTGTGGCTGCTTGGTAATCTCCGTGGCTGCTCGGTAATCTTCGTGAGTGCTGCTAACCCCGAAGCACCCACCGAATCGGCGTCTATGGTTTGTGGTGATATTAGCATCTGATTAAAAGCCAAAATACACATTAAAAAAGAAGAAGAAGAAGAAGAGAGATTTAAGTGATTTCCGCCTCTTGGTCGTAAATCTTCCTCCGAGGAACTGAGGTGTTTCCGACCTGTTTACACAGACACGACCACATTAGAGCTGAAAAAACACAGCTAAACCACTTTGATGGTTGTTCACACTCGGATTAACCCCGACATCCCACCGAACGAGTTTATTCAGGTTTCAACGCAGGAGGTAAAAGGTTTGAAGCCGTCCCTGTTTGCGTAGGTCTGAGCTGCTCTGATGTGGAAAACACACACACCCACACGATCTCATAGACTTATCGCGTGTTTAAATGCTAACTAAATATTAACTAACTAAAAACTAAAGAATTTAGGTTCTTCCTAATAATTTGAACATAAATAAACATTACAATTCGATTAGAACTGGATGGTAACTGCAAAGAAATAAATATATAATATTGCGCGATAGGGGGCGCCAAACATTAATTTCGCCTAATAGGGCGTTTACACCAAAAGCGATAGGTGCGATTTGAGCGGCAGCTCCACATATAGAATCAACGTAAATGGCGCAACACCACGCGATTTAAATTCGGGGTTTTTTTTAAGTTAGCTTTTGCGATGACGATTAGAGGAAAATTAGTTTATTTATAAGCGAGTGATTCTTCGGGTTAACAATGACCCAGTGAATATATTTATAAAGTTATCCGTTTATAGAGAGTCCATGACGCTCTATGACGAGAAGTTTCCGCTGCTGTTGGACGCGGCTAACGGTAAAAACAGCACGTAATATTTTTTTATGACGGCGTGCACTTGATTTTCTCCCATTTCCTGTTGACATTTCCATCAGACAGAGCGCCTCCTGTCGTCGCTCTGTCTGATGACGACGCGCGCCGCTGCAGGAAATTAAAGAGTAGATTAAAAAAAGCATGTGAACACACACAAATATGAGTGTGTGTGTGTGTGTGTGTTTTATCAAGGTAAACAAGGCCGGGGCAGGTGGAAACGACCACACGGGTGAACTGGAGCAGTCCAGGATACAACAGGTTTTAATGAGAGGTCAGAGGTCAGGGACAGTTTGACAAATAACCGTAAAAATTAATTCATAATTAATTCATTTTTCAATGCTTGAAAAAAAAATCAGTCAGTACCAGAAAGTGTGTGCACCACATAAACTGAAGTTAAAAAATAATTATTGTAATTTCAACGTTGCTTGTAGGGATGTTGACTAAAACTACGGCCCGGGGGGCCGGATGCGGTCCGTTAAGCTTTTTAATCCGGCCGCTAAACTTGTCCAAATAAGATAATTGAAACGTGGGCTTTATAAAATTATAAAGAGTCCCCACTACATGGTGTAGAAAAAGCTAAAAGCATGTTAGCATTTTAGCTTTTATGCGTTACTTTTACATGCCATTCATGTCAGTTCAGAGAGTAAATGTGTGTGTGTGTGAGAGAGAGAGGGAGAGTGAGAAAGAGTGGGTGGGTGTGTTTGGGGGCGGGGGGGGGGGTCACTCTGCAGTTTCTTCTTCTTCACTGTAGTCGCTCAAAGGAAACTCGCGTCTCTCGTCCTGCGTGTTGTAGCTTTTCTTGTGCATCACACACTCCTGGTCGATGATTCCCTGCAGCGTGGACGCACACACACACACACACACACACAGAGAGAGAGAGAGAGAGAGAGAGGATGAGAGGGCATTAGTGTGTTATCCCGTGTGTGTGTTGTCCTGGTGTTTCCTCTGCCTCCGTCTGATGTGTCTAATCACGGTGTAATGACTTCACAGAAACTCTTCATCATCACAGACACACAAACACATCCTGGAACCATCAGTCTGGACCTGCCCCCCCAAACTCCCCGCTCCCCCCCGACCCCCCTGTGTTGCTCAAAGTGTTCCCCACTCCCTCCTGAAGATTATAGGGATCACACGGTTCTGATCCTGCTGATTTAAAAACCGTGCAGTACCTAAGTCTCCTCACATCGGTTCTGTATTCTCCGGATTAACAACAGTACTGAGCTCTGTCGCAGTCAGTTACCAGTTTCTCCTCCTGGACCGGCGGGTTCCGCAGGAAGAAGCAGAGCGGAGCGTAGAGGATGTTTATCACCCCGATAAACACCATCAGACTGGGAAAACCCACAGCCTGGACTATAGCGCCTCCTGTGGACGGACCTGGAACAGAAGGGAGGTTTCTGGATCATTATGAAGAACTGGTAATACTGTATTAACAGTGTAGTAACATATATATTTGTACACATACATATATGTTTATACCCATGTTTGTGCATATATGTACATATATGTTTTTAATATTTTGCACATATATGTATGTATATTACAGAGCCCCTAATGGGACATAGAAAAAAAAAATGAAACGTTTCTAGTGACCACGAGATACTTTCTGGCGTTCACAAGATACTTTCAGGTGCGCATGAGATACTTTCTGGTGCGCAAGAGATACTTTCTGGTGCGCAAGAGATACTTTCTGGTGCACCCAAGATACTTTCTGGTGCTCACGAGATACTTTCTGGTGCTCACGAGATACTTTCCGCAGCGCACAAGATACTTTCCGGTGCACACAAGATACTTTCCGGTGCACACAAGATACTTTCTGGTGCACATAAGATACTTTCTGGTGCGCCCAAGATACTTTCTGGTGCGCCCAAGATACTTTCTGGTGCGGACGAGATACTTTCTGATGCTCACGAGATACTTTCTGGTGCGCACAAGATAATTTCCGGTGCTTACAAGATACTTTCCGGTGCGCAAGAGATACTTTCTGGTGACCACAAGATACTTTGCAGTGCGCACAAGATACTTTTTGGTGCGCAAGAGATACTTTCTGGTGCGGACGAGATACTTTCCGGTCATCACAAGATACTGTTTGGTGCTCACCAGAAACGTTTCTTTTTTTTTTTCATGTCCCTTTAGGGGCTCCGTAGTATAGATTTATATGTACGCACATATGCATAACAATATATACAACAATATATACATATACACATATTCATATACGTTTCTACATACAACAGACATACATTTCAACGTAATACAGTTATATCTTTACCATCAGCCCCCCCGACCCCAGCCCAATCCCACCCACTGTAACATAAAGACCAGTGTGTCTGCACATTACCGATAGCGAAGCCCATACACAACGCCACGTCAGCGATGGCGTAGACACTGCCGTAGACGGAGATGTGACGGATGTCCACCAGGTAGCCCATGATGGCCATCATGGAGGAGTCCACCATGCCTTCAACACAATAACAGCGTACAATAACCAATGTATTAGGAATGTGTGAGTAACTGACATGGTTAGCATTAGCATTAGCATTAGCATTAAGTCACCTATAGCGAAGCCCAGACCTCCGTTTGGTCCAATCAGACCGTAAATGCTGGTCGCAAAAGGAACCTGCGACACAGACACCCATGAACACACACACATACACGCACATAAAGTATGACATCAGTCAGGTTTTGCGATAGTAGCAGTACGTGATGAGCTCCTCTGACCAGGGAAAAAAAAAAATTAATTTCACATCGTACTTAAAGAGAAAAACAACTTTGTCTGAATCACTTTTTGATTGTCTGTGGTAAAGTGGCGTCAACAGAAGTTACTGTTATTTGGATCAAACTTTTTTGTTATACTTTTGTTCCATCGCCCTCCTTTATAGGACAGGACTCGTGTCCCGACCTGTCCACCTCCACAATAAAAAATTGAAAACTTCCTCTGAACTTAAAAAAAAAAAATCTTCAAAAAATCCTACAGGACAACTATTGTCCCTGAACAAAGTTCGTTACAACTGCCACGTCCACCCCCTATTGTGGACACAATTCAAGAAATTAAAAGCCCCGTTGTGACCTCCTAAGGGGCACCCGCCCCCCACCTTGGCACCCAGATGAAAGTCCGGTGAGTCAACAGCTGTAAATATCGTTTCTTTGCTTGTAGAGGGCGAGAGTGTCACCAGAGCACCGGTAATTGAATAAAGGGTGTACTCACACAGAGGAGACTGATGCCAACAATAAACATGCCCAACATGGAGCACAGCCACCTGCAGACAGACAGAGGAGATACACATCAGCAGAGCAGCTGTGACGGTGACGTTTCTGTCTGTCGTTGTGTTCGTCCGTCAGTCTGTTCCTCGCAATCGTTTTTTTTTCCACCACTACGTTCATGGGAGTCGTGTGTGTGTTTGGGGGAACATGGGAAATTAAGTGACTTCGTAAAAAACCTCTCACTGACAAGAGAACATCTGAAACATCTGATATGCCGATATTGTCCGAACACCTAATTTCCGATTCCGATATCGACCGATACCAAATTAGGCCTGGTAAAATGTATTTATACCTACAAACCACTGTTTGAGTATTAGATTAATTAAATTAGCTGCAATGCTGCCATCTAGTGACTTTCACTTTAATATACAGCCGTTTTTCTCCAAAACAATTTTTAAGGCACACATCATTTGGTGCAAAAAAAGGCATTGCGTTATCGGGTTTTTATTATCGGAAGAAAAAATCATACACATAACATGCTAATATCGGGCTGATAATATCGGTTGACCAATATTATCGGCCTGATATTATCGGACTTCCACGACGACACATTTACAGACATCACATTCAGATGATACTTTAAGTTATTGGTAGTTTGGCTACTCACACTAAGCTAGTGTTTTTCAACCTTAGGGTCACGACCCCACGCAGGCTCGTCTTAAATGTCTAGTAATTGAAAAAAAAATCTTTCAAAAAATGTCAACTAATTGTTATTCTTTTTTAAAGTAACATGTAACTTTAAAACTACAAAACTATTTTTAGGGCACACACGTCATTTTGCGCAAACCAGGCATTGCGTTATCAGGTTTTCATAACAAAAAAACAATAATTCTTACTTAATATGCTAATATCGGCCGACCCATCTTATCGGACATCCTTAGTTATGGGTTAGCTCCTTATCGCAACCTTTACTATTACAAATATATGACTAATCTTAATCCTCAGCATAACTCTAATCTGACTCTAATTCTAATCCAAACCAAAACTAAATCTTAAACCTGAAAATCTAACCCTCACCTAATGGGAACCAGTACAATGTCCCTAAAAAAACACCGTGTCCCCAAAGCAAAATTCTGTCCCCACAAGTTATCTGTACCAGGTATACATACACACACACATACCTTCCCATCTTATTGGCGAGGACACCAAACAGGTTTGTTCCTATCAGGTACGAGACACTGGCAGGAAGGAAGGCCATACCTGCAGCACAGAAAACACACCTGTCAGAGAGAAAGCAGTCAGCGTTCAGAGGAAGTTAGTATTTTCTGTCCGCTCGCACCAAGCTGCCATTTTGATGAACACATGGTCTGCAGCATCCAGATGGGTAGTGTTGGTTCCAAGATGGCGACGCCCATGTTGGCGAAACACAGAGAACCTACGGATCAAAAACAATAAAAGAATCCTGACGGGAAACCAAGTCCTGGTCCTGGGGGTCCTTCAGGCTCAGTGACCCTCTGACCTACGTCTCCTACCTGCACTGATGAGGATGTAAGGGTCCTTTAAGAGAGTCAGTAGAGGAGTGCCCTCCACACTCTGAAACACAGTAGTTCACACATTTAATTTTAGGTTTAAATATAATATAAAATATTTTATACTATATTACATTTTACATTATTATAAAAAATATATTTATATATTTATAAATATATATTTATGTATTTGTATTATTATAAATATATATTATATTTTTTTATATACTATAAAATATATCATATATAAATAATAATAATACAATATGTGTAATTATATAAATATAAAAATGAAATAGGTTTAAATAGTACAACATTTTGAAGGCAAAAGATAAAAAAATATGTACTACTATATACTGTATGTCTATGTGGTGGAATATTTGTTTAAACTGTCTTTTTACATATTGTATTATTTTAATAAACTTAATTATGTCTCTCTTAAAATTTCTCTCCTATAGTAATAATGAAATAAATAATGTTTAATTTGGATTATTTCTATTTTTTGTGCTATATTTCTGTATATTTTTTTATTCGCAATGTTTCTACTGATGATAATGTTTCAATATTTACAGACGCTTTAAAATGAGATGGAGAACAACTGTAGTAACGACTGTAGTAACGACTGTAGTAATGACTGTAGTA